ACCCTTATACGGTTTAATTCTCATTTTTTTTTGCAAAAAAGCAAGGATTAGTTCAAGGATTTTCTTCACATGACTTGTTCGAAGGGTCATTAAAAATGAAAAAACCGCGGAGTGCTATTAAATTAGAGGGTTAAAATTGAAGATAGGGATGAAAATGCACTTTTGCAGTTTTTTAAATATAGCACGAAAACGAAGCAAAATTTCGGTATAGTTCATAGAAAAAATTTTGTAGAAAAATAAATTTACTATCGAAATGGCTTATTTAAAAAAATTAAAAGAAAAATTTTATGCAGAAAATCGTTAATAAACAATTTTCAAAATGCAAAAATAAAGATTTTTTATTTTTTTTACTTTTTTTATTCTAATTTATGTTAAAAATGACGAAAATGTAAAAAATATTTAATTTTGACCGGTCAGACCGGTCAAGTTTGACCAACTCAGTCTATTAGTCCAAAAACTTTTGAAAACGCATCATTTTGAAGGGAATCTCATCTAGTTTTTTATACAGTAATTTTCTTTGCCCACTTCTACTAAAAAATAAATAGAGCCAAAAATGTAAAAAAATCAAAAAATCTTATTTTTTACTTTTTTTAATTGTTTATTAACGATTTTTTGCGTAAAATTTTTCTTTCAAATTTTTTAAATAAGCCATTTCGATGAAAATTCAATTCTTTACAAAATTTTTCCTATGAACTATATCGAAATTTTGTATATTTAAAAAACTGCAAAAGTGCATTTTCACCCCAATCTCCAATTTCCACCCTCTAATTTAATAGCACTCCGCGGTTTTTTTTATCTAAAATAATACTTTGAACGATTCATGCAATAAAATTGTTTGAACGTCATAGTTCCTTTAACCCTTTTTTTTATATAATCAATAGCCTATACTGTCTTTCAATTTATAAGCTAAACTGTACTATTTGATTTCATTTGTCAGATTGGCTCATAAAAAAAATATTTTGTGATTGACCTTTGGTTCACTCTTGCCTATTATTGACCATTCATAAAAATAACAAAGTCCCTTATAAAAATATATTTTATGATAGATATTAAACAAATATTATTGTACAATTTACCTTAGCAATACCTTCCTAGCGATATTTCCCCTTTGGATGTCTTCAAAACTTACAGGTTCATCAGACTAACCGGTGTGAAAACAGCAGCCAAAATTGGCAGCTCAATTCTACGGAAACAGCCGAGTCCACATAGGCGTCGTAGTTAGCAAAGTGGGGGCATGGGAATTGTCCGTGGTGCGAGCGTCCGCAGGAACATTGAATGTGAGTCGCAATTTTAAACTTTGAAAGTCTCTATAACGTCAGAAAGAATTTTTATGGCATAACACCGCATTTAACATAAACGTAAGAAAGTATAGCGCCAAGACACCCTATCTTTAAAAATTATTATGATGCCATTGACATGTAGCTAATACAGAATAATAAAGTACAAGTCAAATAGCATTGGTTTATAAAGCATAAGAAAAATCAATAAAAATCGTGTTGCTCATAAAGCACCACTGTCAGGCCGTCAGAGGGATGGAAACACCCCATATTGAGAAATAAATAATTTCTAACTCCGATATTACTCATACTGCCAGGATGAAATTAATACGGCACAAAAAGGAACTTAATACAAGTAGAATAGCACAGAC